GTCCCCTGGAGCCCGCTGACCCAGACTTGCCTTCGTGAGCTCCTCTCTTCCGGGTGCAGCCCCTTCCTCCCCACCCAGGAGGCTGCATGGCCACCTGACAGCCAGTTCTCTGACAGAAACCTCGGGGTAGAACGACTACCTTGGAGCCCGTGTGCTCATTCTTGAGAAATGTCCAGGTCTGCAGAAGGTGGCTGATAGCGGAGAGGCTCCTCCTGACCCCCAGCCCCACCTCACCCCCGCCCCTGTGCTGCGTCCTCCGTGGGAGCCCGGGTGCACGGCTCGCCTCGTGATCACCTGCATGCCTTTGGCTGTGGTGTCCCCTTCAGAGGCGTTAGTCTGGCCCTGAGGGTGTGAGTTCGGAGTATGAGAGACTTGCCCGTGTTCCCGGCTCCGGAAATGCCTGATCCCACGTGGCCTCCTCTAGTTAGCATCCTTGCTGTCCCCCCAGCACGGCTGTGAGCAGCTGTTTCCTCCCAAACTGCCACACCCAGAAAAGGGATCCACAGACAGCATCAGTGGTAGAGCCAGCTGCTCCTTCGCAGCGTTGTGCTGGCTGGACGCTCTGATGGGCATGCTGCCTGAGCTGGCCAGGCTTCTGCCGCCAGACACCAGGAAGCCTTGTTTTGTTGGGCCCTGAGGTTTCCATCAAGAAGCAGACCATGTCCTGCTGCAGTGCCTGACAGCCTCTCACTCCTGGAGCAGAGAAAGGATGCACGTGGCAAGACCGGGTGGTACAGGGGCTTCCCGTGCAGAAGGGCTCCCTGGCTGTGGGGCCTTGGGCAAGCCTCCTGCCCATCTGAAGCTGCCCTGTCTGGTCTGGGATATGGGCACGGCTAAAGGTTGTCAGAGCTGCACTCAAGTGGCAGCTGCTTGCAGATTCTGACCCCCCAGACTGGGAACCTTTGACAGTCAGCTGGGTAGGCCAAGGTCGGTGAGCATTGTGCTGCACTCCCCACTGTCCTGAATTAATGAGTAAAGGATCAAGCATCAGAGAAGAGGCCCTCTGGGGCCGGGGACCACAGGGCAGCTGCTGGAGGGGACTTGCTGAAGGCCCCCCTGTCTCCTCCCTCCTCTCCTGGGCTGCTGCCCGGGACAGAGGGAGGGGTTGGCTAGGCATGAGGAGGACGTGGCAGCTGGGGAACCCGGCAGTGCTTGGCTCCCCTTCCCCTAAGCTCCGTCTGCAAAAGGCCTGATGGAGCTGCCGCGTTGCCTGCCTGAGCCATCCCCTCCCTGTGGGCACGGCCAGTGAGTTTGCTGGGCTGATGCTCCTGAATACAAACGATGGCTCCTGGAAGGCACTGCAGAGGGAGGAGGAACCTCAGGGCTCCCAACCTTCACACCGCAATCTAGGTCACCACCCTCCACAGCCCCACACGCCTGTCGTCCTCACTGCCAGGACCTCAGGGATCTGCGTGCTGGGGACTGTGGGTGACCCTGGTGTGCACTCCCCGTCCCTGTGCTTGCCTCTTGCTCCTCAGCTCCTGTGTGTGCGCAGAGCGCGGTCCTCCGCTGCGCTGCCCTGTGCTCCACTCCTCTGAGCACAGCCTGCCCAGCTCCCCGTGCACCTGTGGAGAAGCACTTGGCTTCCAGATGCTGCAGTCGACGCTCGTGACCATGGCCTGGGCCCCCTCCCCGTCAAGTGTGTGACTCACTGTGCATGGTCTCCCCTCTCTCCTCTCTGCCCCAGATCAGTGGACCACCCCCTGCCCGGATCCTCTCTATCCACAGACTGCGGCAGCTGGCAGATGGTAACGGGTTGTGGCAGTATTCAGGAGCGGGCTGTCCTGCACACAGACTCCTGTCTGCCTCTCAGCTTCCCGGATGAGCTCCCTCACAGTTGTCTGTAAGTGTCTCGCTTCAGAAGGCAGGGTGCTCCCTGCCCGTCTCAGCTGCTGAGCAGGCAGGGCAGCTGCGTAGGAACAGGACAGAGGCTGCCCCCGTTCCCTGCACACCTCTGCCCTCAGCCGCCGTACCCCTGCAGGTGAAGGAGGCTGGAAGATGGCTCAGAAAATCTGCTGAGGTTGTGTCTAAAAGGCATCCATGAGCATGTTGGGTGTGGAGAGCCTGTTTCTGTCCAAGGCTATGCCAGCACCCTATGCCAGAGCCAGGATGGCTCTGGGTTAGCCTCATTGTGCTCCTCACAGGCAGAGCAGGGGTGGCTTGTGGTGCTTTGCCCCCACCTCTGCGTCTGCCTCCAGGCAGGAAAGAGGGTGCAGAGATCCTGATCCTGTGCCTGTAAACCACCTTTCTCCAAGGCTGCAGAGCTAGGCCTCCGGCTCTCGGAGCCCCTCTGCCTGATGCACGCAGCTGCTGCTGGAGAAGCTGCCTGCCGCCTGCCTGCTTTGCCCTCTCCTGCGTGTCAGGCAGAGGTGCCTCCGCTGGCCTGGAGAGCCTGCGCACCCTGTGGCTCCTCGGGGGCCTCGTGGGGAGCCTCTGCTCACCTCCACACCTGCGCCATCACGCCTTGACAAGCTGACTCACCCAGCAGCCCCAGGACTCAGCTCCTAGCCCCTGTGCTGACATTGTGAAGGCCGCATGCCCTGGGCAGTGGGTAGGAAGAGGGTCCCTGAATGCCAGCTGAGGCCGTGCCGGAGCTGACCAGACCTTTCGATCCCAAGACAGCATTCATAGGTTCTGTCAGTGCAGCTGGGAGGTCCCTGGGGGACTTCCAAGGCCACTGTGCCTGCGGCAGCCATGTCTCTAGACCCTGAACAAGACTGACTTTTTTAGATCCTCAGACCGTTCTGTAGGGACTTCCTGCTTTCAGCATGCTGGCATAAAGGCCAGATTCCCCTGCCACTCCCTGAAGCACCCTCGCCAGCACCGGGTTAGCCTGGAGACAGCAGCTGCAGCCACAGCGCACCTGGCCGGAACCCCCTGAGGCCTCCGCCCTGCGCTCCGAGCTAGACACCCTCCAGCTCCGGAGGTTCCAGGAAGAGGGCCAGATGCTGTGAGACCCCAGGGTCGTGGGGGTGGGGGTCAGGGTGGTTCATGCTTGGCCTTGCTATCCAAGCTACTCTGCACACCTGTGGGGTCAGCTGTTGGCTGATCTCTGGACAGGGCACGCGCTGGCAGCTCCCTTGTCTCCCTTGTCTCCTGGTCCACGTGGGACACACATGCTGTGGCTCCAGTTCTCGTTTCTTGGTCTGTGCCCTCACAGGTGCGGGCTGTGGAGTGCGCTTGGGTGGGATGGGAGGTCCGAACACCACTGCTGGTCTCTTCCCGCATGAGCATCGGGAGGAGCTGTGTGAAACTCAGCTAGGCAGTGAAGATGGAGGGCCTCATGTCTGCCCCAGCTGCCTGCAGAGACTCCAGGGTGGTTCAGGCGTCATAGGAAGCCAGCATCAGCTCCGCCTTCTTAGCACCTGTGTGAGAGCTGTTAGGTTCTCCTGGACCCAGGAGCCTGCTGCTTCTCCACCTGTCACACAGCACTCCCACAGGTTGACTTCCAACTTCTGGTGGTCCTGTCTGACCTGCCCCTTGGGCCCCAGGCCCTGGGCTGTGGATCCTGCGACTTGGGGATGGAGTGCATTATGCCAACCCCAGGGAGGAATCTGAAAGATGTTAGTGGTGCTGGCTAGTGTTACTAGTGTGAGGGCTCATCTCAGAGGGCCCTCCAGGGGTGCTCTTGACCTTGGAGTCCAGAACCTGGATATGCCTTGGGCCTCTGTTAGAGACCCTTCAGGGTATCAGATGGCTTCCCGTGGCGTCCAGGCTCTGATAAGTTGAGCATACATCTGTTCGCTTGATCTGTCCTTGCAGGGTGAGGACAGGAAAAGGGCTTGCTGTCTCCCATGGGTGATGAGTGCCTGTAGAGGCCAAGGAGGAGAAAGAGGTGGAGTCAGAACACAGGTCCTGCTGGGAGAGCAGCACCTTTTCCGCTGTGTCCCTGATGACACCCAGGACTGAAGGTGCAGGCGAGCCCTCAGGGAAGGGGGGTCTCAACAGGGGGCCCTGGCCTCTCCAGGGCGAGCGCTCCTTCCCAAGGTGTGTCAAGTCCTGGCATCAAGGCTGAGGCCTGGGCCTCCACCCGTTCCTGCTGAGGAGAGGAGTCCAACAGCTGTGAATGGGGAGTCTGTCTGCCTCCCCCGCGTCACAGAGACGGGTACTGTCCCAGCGGAGCCAGATCATTGCCCCAGTAAAAGTGGCTGCTGTTCTGGGTGAGCACAGTGGCCTGAGAGCTGAGAGGGACAGTGTGAGAGGGATTGGCCAGTATTGGTGGTTGTGTGGCCACAGGACCAGTGCTGTCTGGGCAGTGGGAACAAGGATGCTGGGACTGGGCCAGGGTGACGCGTTCCTTCCTTCTCTCCCTCCCTCCCCACAGGCTCGCAGCCCTGAGCAGCCGGGAGACTCGGCTGCAGGAGGTGCGCTGTGCCTTCTTGGCCGCATACAGCAGCACGGTGGGTCTCCGGGCCGCAGCCCCAAGTCCATCTGGTGCCATCGGGGGCCTGCTGGAGCAGTTTGCTCGTGGGGTCGGTCTGCGGGGTGCCAGCAGCAGCGCCTTGTGAAACAGCCAGCCCATGGTTTCCTGCTCCTCTTTGCTGAGCCCTTCGTGGAATCAAAGCCATTGCCTGGCCAAGGGGTTCCTCCGGGTCAGAGGGGGTCACACACACAGCAGGGCCAAGGACAGGGTTTCCCTACCCCAGCCCCTGACTGTTGACTGCGACCCTCGTCACTGCCTCACACCCACCCACGACTTTGTCAGGGTCCCCCTCAACTCCCAGAAACTGGGGTCTCCCTGGGGCCTTGCAGAGGCCATGACTTGGCGAAGGACTCACCCACCGTTCTGATTTCCTGGAAGGGAGGGGTCACTTGCACTGAAACGAGGCAGTTTGACACTGATCACACAATAAAATCAAAGTCCTTTTGAACAGCCGCTCGTGCACTCATCTGGTCCTGTCTTGTGAGCTTTGGGGGGGGGGGAGGTTCTCATTTGCCTGCCTGTGGGTGGATATGGTGAACAGGAAGGGAGCTGGAGGCTCAACCCGAGCCACAGTGGCCCCCCAGCAAAAGGGGACGCGGACTCCCCAGGCTGGTAGGCTGGAAGCCACGGACCCTCTTCACCTAGGGAGGCTGCTCACCTGTTAGGTTTCCAGGGCTGCCTGCACTGATCCTTGTGGATGCTGGGTCCTTGCTTGGCTGAGAAGGGGAAGGGCATGCTCCCCTTCCCTTCCTCTGTTGGAGGGGTCATGGGCCACTGGCGTCCAGTGTGGCCAGGACAGTGTCCACATCTCAAGCCGTGAAGCCCTGAGAGTTGAAAGGTGTGGGGAGAGGGCTGGGTCCAGGGCCCTAAGAGCTTCCCTCAGCAGTCTGGCCCTACACAGCATTCAGCTTGAATGCTGAGGCCGTAATGCCAGCAAACATTTATCCAGCACTGGCCGCGTGCTTTCTGCTTTCCTTGGGTTATCTGTAAAATGTTGAGCACCACAGATAGCTGCTAGAATGGCTCATCCATGAGAATGAGCACAGAGGTGTTGGGTCACTCGCCCAAGGTCACACAGCTATTAGGAACAAATGGAACTTAAGAGACCCGGTGTGAGAGGAGGGAAACTTGGAGCAGCCCCCCGCGCCCACTGGTATCCAAGTGCTTCAGCACCGCGGACAGCTCGCGGTGGGGGTGCGCGTAGCGCGGGGTGAGGCGTAGATTGGAGTTGGGGTCTGGGTAAGGGTCTCGGCCGGCTTCCGGCTGTTCCAATGGGGCGGGGGCCGCCTGCAGGGCCAGGCGGGGCTGTGCTGCCATCTGGAGCTGCTGCCGCCAGCGGCCACTGCCAGGGCGCGAGCGGCGGGAGCGCACGCAGGGCTGGCGGGAGCGCAGCCGCCGCCGCCGCCGCCACACATGGGCCGGCCCCGCGGTCGCCCCTAGCTCTGCGGTCTGGGTCTCAGCCTTCCGCGGCTCCGGTCGCCCGACCAGCCATGTCTCTCAGCGGAGCCTCGGAGCGCAGCGTCCCGGCTACCAAGATTGAAATCACCGTGTCCTGCAGGTGAGCGGGCCGCGCTGGGGAGGCTCAGGCACCGGCACTGCCCCAGCCCCAGTCGGCTCTGGGGCCCACTCAACGCGGGCAGGGGCTGGAACTCGGGGTGGGGGGGAGGCCTCGAGGGACAGGGGAGCTGCTGGCGGGAACGAGGAGGGGCTTCCTGCGCGGCTCCACCTCAAGAGGAGACCTCAGCCTGCGGGTTCAAGGGCTGTGTCCGGGGGGTCCAGGAAGCTGGGCCCGGCGGACTAAGTGATAGGGGAGCTCTCTCCTGGGCCCCTCTGCGTCCAGTGGGCAGAAAGAAGGTCCCGGGCAGGGGTTTCCGGCGCTGTGCTGAGTGAGGACAGCGCAGACCCCGTTGGGGCGGGCAGGGAGGCGCGATACAAGGGGCGGGGGCTCGGGGGCCAGCGCCCTCTGTCCGTCGGTTGCTTTTCCCTAGGAACCTGCTGGACCTCGACACCTTCTCCAAGTCCGACCCCAGTAGGCGGCTGCGGCGCGGGGCAGGGGGCCTGGGGACCGGGGCGCGGAGCCGGGCGGGCAGGGGCCGGCGAGGGGCGCGGCCCGACCCGCTCCTCCCGTCCCGCAGTGGTCGTGCTGTACACGCAGAGCCGGGCCAGCCAGGAGTGGCGGGAGGTGAGTCCCCAGCCCCCTCCCCGCCCAGGGCCGCGCCCTGGAGCCGCCTGCAAGGGGCGCCCCTCGCTGACTCTCCGCCCGCCCACCCCAGTTTGGACGGACGGAGGTGATTGACAACACACTGAACCCGGACTTCGTGCGCAAATTCGTCCTCGACTATTTCTTCGAAGAAAAGCAGAATCTGCGCTTCGATGTGTGAGGCCCTCGCTCGGGGTCCTGGCTGGCCCCGCCCCTCACCGAGCTGGGCCCCGCCCCCTGGCTCTCACCCCCACCCCTGCCCCTCTTGCAACCGGCCGACTCACGCCCCCTCCCCCTTCTCTTGACAGGTACAACGTGGACTCCAAGACCAACATCTCCAAGCCGGTGAGCGGGCGCCTCTCGCGGGCGGCGGGGAACAGGAACGCTCCGAGGGGTTCCACGACCCTCCTTCCCTATGGCCAGACCCCTGCCCTACCCTCCCGACCCTGTCCCACCAGTGCCCCTTCCTCACTGTGCCTCTTCCCTCCCGGCCGCTGCTGGCGCCCACAGAAGGTAAGGCTGCAGGGGTGTGTGGGGCACGCAGGGGCTAGGCGAGGGGTGGAGGAGGCTGATGGTGGTCACAGGAGCAGGGCTGCCTGCGGACCCCTTCCCCAGCACAGGCCATGGGCAGGAGCCCTGCCGCCTGCCCCAGGGTCAGCTGGTCTGGGGCAGCGGCTTGACTGGCCTGGTCTGGGAGTCCACGCCCTGGCCTCATGAGTCCCCATGCTGTCCCTGCAGGATTTCCTGGGACAAGCGTTCCTGGCCCTGGGAGAGGTGATCGGAGGTCAGGGCAGCCGCGTGGAGCGACCCCTCACGTGAGCTGAGGGAAGGGGTGCGGGCAGGGAAGGGGACCTCCTCATCCTCTCCCGCAGGAACGCCGCCTGCTCATCAGTGCGGACTGCGCTCGCCGGGGCGGCTCTCACCTCGTCGTTTTCCTTTAGGGCCACTTAGAGCTTCCCTGGGCTAGTTCAGCCCCTCGGGGACTTGCACAGGGGTCACTGGGGACTGCACTTGATAGCCACGCCCTGTCCCCAGCTACTGCCAGCAGCTCTCCGGGGCCGGGTTGCACTGGTGGACTAAAGGCACTCCTCCTGCCGACAGGGGGCTTGTACTCTAGCGGGGGGGGGGTGTGTGTGTGTGTGCACAACACACATGCAAACCCATGATGTCATGGGTTGGAAGACATGAAGAAGGAAAGGCAGAGCAGATGGGAGAGGAGGACCTGGACACGCTGGGTGGAGGCGTGTGTGCCGCGGGGTGGTCAGAGAGAAAGCCTCTGTCAGCTCGGAGCCAGGACCTGGAGGAGGGGCGGGACTGAGCCGCGCAGCCATGGGGGTGGGGGGTTCAGGCAGCATAAATTGCCGGCGCCAGAGAACGGCAGAGAGGCTGCAGACTTCCCAGGGCAGCCCTTGGAGCTGCTTAGCTTTTCCCCTGAGAGGGGAGTCCCTGGAGGGGCTTCCAGGGGGATGCCGCTGGCTGCTGAGCAGAGAACAAACCTTGGGTGCGCGCAGGCGGAAGCAGGGGGGCACCTGCTGCAGTGCCCCAGGGTGCAGCATTGAAGGAGGGGAGAAGCCGGCGGGTTCTGCATGTGTATTTAAGTAAATGCATCTCAGGCAGGCGAGAGGGTGCCGTGTGCTGGCTCACTGCTCAGATGCCCTCCACAGCCAGGACGCGAGCTCCATCCAGGCCTCCCTTGTGCGTGGCAGGATCGTAGTCCCCCCCCCCCACGCACACACACACACACACACACACACACACACAAAGGTCTGTGTTGGCAGAAAGCTGGGCTTGGGGGCCGGAGGATCTGAGCCCAGGCACTCATGTGGGCTGTTATGGGCTTAGCTGCTGGGATGAACGCCTGCCCCGGACGCGGAATCTATTTTGAGGATGGAGCCAGTGGGTTCCTGACAAATTGAATACGGGTGTGAGGGAAGCAGGTTGAGGATGGCACCAAAGCCCGTGGCCTGAACACCTGGGGTGATTTAAAAGAAGGGGGGGGGCGGGGAGAAGCTTGAAAGGAGGCAGTCGGGAACAGGTTTCCAATGAGGATTCAGTCTGATGAGATCGGTCACAAGGTGGGTCCTCGGAGCGAGGGCGGGGCAAGCTGCTTTCTGGTTCTGTTCCTCGTTTGTGCATAGGAAAGGGAGCAGGAGGCAAGGAGAGGAGGCGTAGCTGGGGCGGGTGGCCTGGGGCCGACAGCATGGACGGCAGGGAGCTCACAGCCCTGGGAGGAGCAGGCAGGCGCGGCTGTGTGGGGGGAGGGAGCAGTGGGCGAGGTGTGTGGTGGGTGGACTTTCTCTCCTGTCAGCGAGTAGGAAACAGGGTCACCGGCTGAGGGAGGGGCAGGGAGGAGGCAGGAGGGGTCTGAGGAGAGCGGAGGAGTGAAGCTGCCACCTGGCAGAGCTGGAGAGGGAAGGGCCAGGGGCGCCCGGTGTGACCACCAGGCAGTGTAGGACCTTCTGGTGCTCGGTTTACAAAGGGGACAGAACCGCCTCTGTCCGTGTTGAGCTGCGTGGTGCAGGCTGGGGCAGCAGAGAGCTGGGTTTCGCAGGTCCAGCTTGGTGAGAGCAGGGCAGCGGAAGAAGCAGGAGGCAGGGATGGATGACTGGAATTTGCAGTGAGGGAGAACATGGCGCAGGGGAAGACCCCGCGGAGGCGGCAGGACCAGGGTTTCCTGGTTCTAGGTGTGCAGGTGCAGAGTCCCTGTCCACAGGGGTCAGAGACTGGAGCGGTGAAAGGCAGGGCTCAGCTGTCTTGTTTTCTTTATTTTTGACCATTTTTTAAAATGTATTCATTTATTGGAAAGAGTTAAAGAGAGAGGGGGAGAGAGAGAGACAGAGAGAGGGATCTTCTACCTGCTGGTTCACTCCCCAGATGACTGTAACAGCCAGGGCTGGAGCCAGGAGCCAGGAGCTTCATCCAGGTCTCCCACATGGGTGCAGGGGCCCGAGGACTTGGGCCATTTATGCTGCTTTCCCAGGCCATTAGCAGGAAGCTGGAGCAGAAGTGGAGCAGCCGGGACACAAACCAGTGCCCTTAGGGGATGCTGGCACTTCAGGCAGCGACCTGAAGCTGCTACACCACAGCGCTGGCCCCAGCACAGAAACTTGTAACTTTATTGGAGTGCAGCTTTCCAGTTATGTGGTTCGTGGTTGTGCCTTTGGTGCAGTATCTGAAGTCCTCACCAGACCCAAGGTCATCTAGATTGTCTCCTGTGTTGTCTTCTAGGTTCTTTTTCCCCTAATATTTATTTATTTGAATGTCACAGTTATAGGGAGAGAAAGAGAGAAATTGTCTGTCTACTGGTTCACTCCCCAAATGGCCAAAACAGTCAGAGCTGGGCCAGGCCAGAGCCTAAAGCCAGGAGCTTCATTCAGGTCTCCCACGTGGGTGTGGGGGCCCAAGCACTTGGGCCATCTTCTGCTTTCCCAGGAGCGTTAGCAGAGAGCCAGATCAGAAATGGAGCAGCCAAGACCAGTGCACACAGGGGATGCTGGCGTCCAGGTGGTAGCTTAACCTGCTACACCACAGCACCGGCCCTCTTCGGTTTTTGGTTTTTGGGTTTTTTTTTCCTGATCACACTTTTCATAGACGTCACAGACGCGATAGCTGTGACCTAACACAGCAGCCCTTTGCCCTGGGTCTGAATGGAAATCCCTCCCCTCCTTGGGAGCTGCTCGTCATACCGCACTTGGGGTTGGCCCTGACCCTCGGGCCCCTCCCCGCATGATCCCTGAGGAGCTCAGCAGAGCCCAGTGGAGCTGGAGGGTGCTGAGTGGCCAGGTGGTAGCGGGCACAGGGCCCAGCATGCACTGGGCTCCAGGGTCGGCTTTGGAGAACACTCATGCCGTCGCCTCATGTCTGCCGGGCTTGGACGCTGCTTCCTCCCAGGCAGGCATTCAGAAGGCTTCACAGCCCCAACAGGTGTCATGATTCCCACTTCCCAGAAAGGGAAAGCAGTCTTCCCAGGGTCACACAGCTCGAAAGTCGTAAAATCCACCCCGAGTCCACAGACTGTAAATCCCACGTCTTCCTCACGTTGCTGTTATGAGACATCTACACAGACCCCTCCCCAGGCAAAGTCAGGCTGTTTCTCAGCAGAAGCCCCCCTAAGGATGCAAGAGGACACACTCGGGGGCATGACTGAGCCCCCCGACCCTTGTTTCCTGTTCTCCCTCCCTCTGAGCAGCCCTGTCTGTTTCCAGGGGTGTGCCAGGGAAGAAGTGTGGGACCATCCTGCTGACCGCAGAGGAACTTAGCAACTGTCGGGTCAGTAAGGGCCACGTGGCCGAGCCCGGAGCGCCTGCCCTTGTCTCTGCAGACCCCGTCAGTGGACTGTCCAAAGGCAGTGGGTATTCTGGGTGTCAACAGCCTGGCTTTCCCGTCCCTAGGACATTGCCACCATGCAGCTCTGTGCAAACAAGCTGGACAAGAAGGACTTCTTCGGGAAGTCAGACCCCTTCCTTGTGTTTTACAGAAGCAATGAAGATGGCACGTGAGTCCCTCAAGCCCCCAGGCCGGATGTGGGCCCATACTCAACCAGTGGGGGCCTCGCGGGAATCCCCAAGGGCATCTGGCCCTGTCTCTGCCCCCAGGGCGGGTTCCAGTCCTCACATCTCTGCAGGTTCACCATCTGCCACAAGACAGAGGTTGTGAAAAACACGCTGAATCCCGTGTGGCAGCCGTTCAGCATCCCCGTGCGGGCTCTGTGCAATGGAGACTACGACAGGTCTGTGTCGGCACGAGCTGGGCAATCCGGGGACCTGGGCATGACGGAGGTTCCTGGGCCCCAGAGCGATGACACACATGGCATGCATAGTAGTGTTATGGTAGGCAGTGGATAGCGACACGGATGAGGATGGATGGATGGATGAGTTAGCTGATGGATGGGTATAAAGTAGATGGATAAGCTTATAGCCAAAGAATTAACGAATGGGTAGTATGGAGACAGGTGGGTAAGTGGAGAGTAAAAGGTGCCCATCTCAGCATACATGGATGAGTGGATGGATGGTTGTGCAGGTGAGTAAGTGAACAAATGGGCAGGTTTTATACAGCGGAGTGGTTGGTTGGGTAGGAAAGTGGATGCAGACAGGTGGTTACTTGCATGTTTCAATGAGTTGGTGAGTGGCTGGATGTTCAGTGGGATAGACAACAAGATGTATTAATCGGTAACTGGATTCACAGGTGTACAGGTAGATGGGCGGCTAGGTAGATGGACACCGGTAGATAGACAGATGGGAGAACTCGGGCGTGGTCGCCAGGAACAAGGTCTGTGGGTCCAGAAGGTCTGAGTGTAGCTCTCGGCTCCACCACTAGCTATAGGATTGTAGCTAGGTTACTTTTTGGCATCTCAGTTTCCTATCCAAAATAAGAATAGTGTACTTACTTGGGTTATTGTTAGATTAAGCATGATGACTTGCAGTAGTGCCTGGAACTCAGTACGACTCACCAAGTGGTGGCATGGCAGTGGTGGTGTTGTGATGACCCTGGATGGCTGGGAACATGTACGGACGGATGAGCGGGCAGACTAGGGGCAGGCTGGGTGGCTGGGAGCATGGCTTGTGCGGGCTTAGGTGGAGCCGATGTCTTTGGGGTTTTTCATATACAACCTAAACTATGTTTACCTCTCGGTTGCAGAACGGTGAAGATTGATGTGTATGACTGGGACCGGGACGGAAGGTAGAACCGCCTCGCCTACTCCCCCGCGTACCTAACCCCGACAGCCCCTTCTCCTAGGTGCTGCACTCCCTGGGAAGCCTGCAGGGTGAGGGCAGATCCCAAGGCCTGCAGTCCAGGGGTTCCCTCAGCTGTCGCTTGGCTTCAGTGTCTCTTCCCTGTTCTTCCCTTTCATCTGGCCCCTTCTAGCTCCAGGCCTAGTGCCCTGCAGCTCGCGTAGGGACTTAGGACCAGGGGCATAAAAGACTGGGTTCAGGCCTGGCTCCAAACCAGCCCCAGTCTCTGCCTTCCTACCCCTGGCCCCATTGCAGCCATGATTTTATTGGTGAGTTCACCACCAGCTACCGGGAGCTGAGCAAGGCCCAGAACCAGTTCACGGTTTACGAGGTGAGCGCTCCAGCCCCGCCCAGGTGGCCCAGGCCTGTATCCCCCTGCGCTCTGTCCTCTGCACGGCTGCCTTCCCCCACCCAGGTACTGAACCCCCGGAAGAAGTGTAAGAAGAAGAAATATGTCAACTCGGGGACTGTGAGTGCCCTGGGGCCCCGGCTGCTCGGTTTCCCTCCCATTAACACAGCATGGCGAACGCTGGGGCAGGGACACCAGTGGCGCCACTTAAGGTTTTGCTTTATATTTTTTCTCACCCAGGAAAACGTTTTGATCTTTTGCAGAATGAATAAGATAACCCTACGTCATATTTCCCAAGTTACTGTACTTTCGGGAATCCGAGTGTTTCTGACGATGTCCCTTTGTTGTCCCTTCAGACACTGCGCGGGGTGGGACAGCTTGGGGCATGGGGTGGGATCAGTGCCCTGTCCCTTCTGCCACACCCGCCCTTTGCCAAGTGGCGGGGCTGCCTCTCCTGTCCCCCAGGTGACGCTGCTCTCCTTCTCGGTGGACTCTGAATTCACCTTTGTCGATTACATCAAGGGAGGGTGAGTCACGGGCCAGCCTGGACGGAAAGCCCGGTTCCCTTGTCGACGGCAGGGTCACAGCCCTGTGAGATCTTGGGGTGCACTGGGAACCCAGCAGGTGCCCCCTAGCACGCACAGTGTGGCCCCCCTGGTCTTCGAGCTGAGCCGGCTTCCAGGACAGGGGTCTCCGACAGTGATCTGACTGGGGCTGAGACAAAAGCTACGGCCAGTCAAGATGGGGATGCCCAGGCAGAGGGGGGAGCCAGGCAGAGTCTGGGGGCTGCTCGCTGGGGTCGGGGGGGCAGGCACCCCTGGGGCGGGTGGTCTGCTTCTCAGTGCACTGCAGCATACAGCGGGAGTCCTAATTATAACTCAGGACTGTAGCAAGGGTTAGATTCGATCACACGTGATCCACGCATCGCACAGGAGACAGACAACTCTGCTACTGAACGTGTGGTCCGGGGACCAGCAGCGTCGGCAGCTTCTTGGGCTTCCCCACCCCAGAGCTTCGGATTGGAATCTGCAGTTTAGCCTGAGCCCTGGCCGGCCACGTGCACGCTGATGTTGGAGAAGCCCTGGAGAGCCAGGGTCAGCTCCTCACTTCTCAACCCTCTACTTCCCACAGGACACAGCTGAACTTCACCGTAGCTATTGACTTCACGGCTTCCAACGGTAAGGCATGTGTTGGTAGGACTGGGGCTGGGGGGCTTCTAAGGGAATTCCTAGGCATTGGCCTGTATTCCCACCTGGGGGTACAAGTCCACTTCTCCCCAAGAAGCTCAGGATTACATAAAGCCTAGCCGAGATGGTACTGGCGTAGCAGTGTCGGAGGGAGATTTGGGGGTACAGGGGTTGGCAGAGAAGACAGGAGAGTACATGGCTAGATGTCAAAAAAGGCCACGGTGAAAGCTCAGCTGGTAGACGGGAGAGAGCAGGCGTACCACAGGATCTGGACACGTGATGCGTGGTTGGGCAGACAGGTGAACACGTACAGGTGGGTCAGAGAGTTGGCACAAGAGGTTGCACAGGTAGATGTGTGGGTAGGCGGAGGGACAGACCTTTAAGTTGGTAAAGTCACAGCCACGTAGACCGGGGAATGGGTGAGGGAATATGAGAATCCACAGACAAGTGTGTGGGTGGTGGATAGGAATGGCTGAGTAGGTAGAAGGGTAAAATAATGTGACTGTACGAATGGTCGGAAAAGGAAGAGAAACCGCAGGCGGATGGGTGGGTGGGTGGATGGATGGATGGATGGACGGACGGGGTGTGAAGGATGGACGGACAGACAGACGGATGGATGGGTGGCTGTGTAAGAGAGAGGAGAGGTGGAGGGATACGTAGATTGAAAAGTGATTTATGGTCAGTATGGGTGAATGGACAGATAAATGAGTGGCTAAGTAGATGCACAGATACAGGTGGATAGATGAACAGTGGGTAAAATGGCCAGGGAGGGAATGGGTAGAGAGAGGGTAGCTGGACGCCAGGATAAGCAGGTGAACAGCTGCGTAGCCCAGGTGACCACGGGGCTGGGGCTCCTGTGTCCCCCCAGGGAATCCTCTGCAGCCCACCTCCCTGCACTACATGAGTCCCTACCAGCTCAGCGCCTATGCCATGGCCCTCAAGGCGGTGGGAGAGATCATCCAGGACTACGACAGTGACAAGCTGTTCCCCGCCTACGGCTTCGGGGCCAAGCTGCCTCCCGAGGGAAGGATCTCCCACCAGTTTCCGCTGGTACGGTGTGCAAAGGCCAGAGTCGCCACCCCGTGCCCGAGGTCTGGTCCGCCCATGCCAGGAGCTTCCTGGAAGGGCCAGGCCTGCAGGGGAACAGGAAGCCGAGAGGCTGGCAGAGCAGGGCCTGGGCGGGGCATGAAAGGGACCAGGATCAGGAGCTCCTGGGACGCCCCCTGCGTGTTCCTCCACAGAACAACAACGATGAGGACCCCAGCTGTGCGGGCATCGAGGGTGTGCTGGAGAGCTACTTCCAGAGCCTGCGCACAGTGCAGCTGTACGGGCCCACCTACTTCGCGCCTGTCATCAACCAGGTGGCCAGGTGAGCCCCACACAGGGTGCTGACTCCCCAAGGAGAGGCAAGAGCGCTCTTGGGCGAACTTGGGAGGGAGCGGAAGAGGTTCCCTGATACCTCGCTGTGGGAGGCAGGGATCCACCCCAACGCCGCTCCCAGGCCTTGCGTTTGGACCAGAGAGAGAAGGCCGGTAGCACCGTGGGGAAGGCGCAGACCTGGGTATGATCCTGGCTGCACTGCTCGCTATGACCGTGTGACCGTCAGCAGCTTAGTCCACTTGAGGCTCCACTTCCTTCCTGTGTGGTGGTGTAGTCACAGGTGACACAGTAACGGCTTCTGCCCAGGGTTAGCACCATGCAAATCTCACAGCCGCGCAGGAGGTGTTACAAGTTGCTTTATTTATTTATTGAAAGGCAGAGATGGGGGGTGGGATCTTCATCCACTGGTTCACTGCCCTGATGCCAGCTAAAGCCTGCACTGGACCAGACCAGTGCCAGGAGCCAGGAACTCCATCTGGGTCTCCCATGTGGGTGGCAGGGCCCCAGTGACTTGAGCCATCACCTGCTGCCTCCTAGGGTGCACATTCGTAGGAAGCTGGATCAGAAGCCGAGTCAGGACTGGGTCCCAGACACTCTGATATGGGTGCAGGCGTCCCGGGCAGTGGCTTAACACCCTCCACCACAGTGCCCCCACCCTGTAAGAGGTGTCAAAATAGTGTTCGGAGCTGGCGCTGTGGCTTGGTGTGTTACGCTGCTGCTCCCGACACTGGCGTCCCATATCCAGGTGCCCGTTTGGGTCCTGGCTACCTTGTTTCTGAACCAGCTCTCTGCTAATGCACTTGGAAAGACAGGGGCAGATGGCCCAGGTGCTTGGGCCCCTGCCACCCATGTGGGAAACCCAGATGGAGATCCTGGTTCCTGATTTCAGCCTGGCCCCTACCTGGCTATTGCAGACATTTCAGGAGTGAATCAGCAGATGGAAGATCTCTCTGACTCTCCCTCTCTCTGTCACAGCACCTTTCAAATAAATAAGTCTTCAAAGTAAACAAACAAAATAGTGTCTGACCCATAGGAGGTGCTCAATAAATGATAGTTTAAAAACTAGGGGAGCAATTTTCCAGATATTCAGAGTAAAAATATGCAAAGAACACTCAGATCATAAATCGAATGATTTTAAAGCGCAGAAAGTATTAAAAATAAAAGGATAGGACTGTGGCCAGCGCCACAGCTCACTAGGCTAATCCTCTGCCTGCGGCGCCAGCACCCTGGTTCTAGTCCCGGTCGGGGCACCGGTTCTGTCCCGGTTGCTCCTCTTCCAGTCCAGCTCTCTGCTGTGGCCCGGGAGTGCAGTGGAGGATGGCCCAAGTACTTGGGCCCTGCACCCCATGGGAAACCAGGAGGAAGCACCTGGCTCCTGGCTTCGGATCAGTGCAGTGCGCCGGCTGTAGCGGCTACTTTAGGGGTGAACCAACGGAAGGAAGACCTTTCTCTCTGTCTGTCTCTCTCTCATTGTCTAACTCTGTCAAAATAAATAAATAAATAAATAAATAAAAGGGTAGGACTAAAACAAAAATACATCAACAAATATAAATGGGACAAAACTTGGTTGAGTTTGAAAGAGAAAAAGAATTCCTGGATCAAAATGGTAAGTAAGCCCCACGGTGTAATGAATGCAAGAGATCGGGCTACCGCTCGTGGAAGGATTCTCGGATTCTTAGTTACAGAAGTCACACGCACTGCTGTAGCAAGTTTCAGACAGAGAAATGAGGTAGGAAATTGCCCTGGATACGGCATGCAGGAAGGGGATGGACAGATAGGTATGAGGGGTCTTGAAAAAGTCCGTGGTGCTGGCATCTGGGGTAGCAGTTAAGACACCGCGTGGGGCGTGGGTACGGTAGCACAGCGGACTGAGCTGCCACGTCGGGCCCACGTCCCGAACTGGAGTGCCTGGTTCAAGGCTCACCTCTGACTCTGATCAGTTCCTGCTAATGTACCTGGGAGGCACAGATGGCAACCCACGTACTCGACCCAGGCACGTGGGTGACCCAGATGGAGTTCCTGGCTCCTGGCTTCTGCCTGGCCAAGTCCTGGCTGTTACTGGTAGATGGAAGAGATCTCTCTCCTCCTCTCTCTGTCACTCTGCCTTTCAAGTAAATTTTTTAAAATCTTTAAAAAAAAAAAAAAGAAACAAACACATGGGACCCCCACCCCCATCCAACATCAGAGTGCTTGGGGGCACGAGCTCCACTCTTGATTCTACCTTCCTTCAGATGCGCCCGCACCTTGGGAGGCAGCCCTGATGTTACAAACACATGGGTCCCTGCCACTCATGTGGGAGACCTGGATTGATTGCTCATCCTAGCCCAAGTTGCTGTAGACATTGGAGGGGTGATCCTGCAGCTCGCGTCTCTCTCTCTCTCTCTCTGTCTCTCTCTCTTCCCCTCTCTCTCTCTTTCCCCTCTTTTCCCTCTTTCTCTCTCTTTCTGTGCCTCTCAAATAAAATTAAAAAAAAAAAAAGTTTATGGGAAATGCCTATGACAGGAAAGTATGCAAAGATTTCTGATTTTTTTTGCACCAGCATAAACTTACCTTTTAGTTCTGTCTCGCCTGAACTTGCTGAAGTAGCTGCATGTGATTGGCACGCTGTGAGACCTGTGTGCGCGTGCAGTGCTGTCAGTGTGTGAACACCGCAGAGTGCTCTCACACACACCTAGATGGCACAGCCTTGGCACACCTGGGCAGAGCCTCTGCTCCTGCAGCTGTGGTGATGAGACAGCGTGAGGGTGAGGCAAGCACAAGCGAAAACAGCGCCACCAAGAGACACGGTCAACACGAGGCTGCTGCTGGCGGGACACGGCTGCTTTACTGTCCCTGTTGTGCACTTGAGAGGCAGAGGCAGACAGAAAACCCCCCAAATGCCCACAGTGGCCTGGGCTGGCCTGGGTGGGGAAGCCAGGAACCCAGAACTCAATCTGGGTTTCCCTCCTGGGCTGCAGGCACCCAACTCCTTGAACCATCAGCCGCCGACTCCCAGGGCGCACATGAGCAGGAAGCTGCAATGGCAGAAGGAGCTGGGGCTCAAACTCAGGTCTGCAGCCTGGGATGTGGGCGTCCCAGGTGCTATTTTAACCACTGGGCCAAGTGCCTGCCCCGATCTATCTTTATAAGCAGAGGGAGAACACGTTAAAATAACAGGACCACAGGACGGGAAGCCATCACATGCAGTGTACCAGCCGTGGTGCTGCGTGCCCCGCTTTCGTAGGACTGGCGCACAGGGGCCGCGCCGGTACCAGCCCCATGCACATGGGAGGAGGCTGGGCCTTGCTCTCTGCATCACCGAGTGGCAGGGGTTTTTCTGCTGGATTGAAAGCTTAGGGCACCGCCACCACGTGTGCGGTCTGTCGCTGACCGAGACAGCGGCCGAGGCACGACCCGGGCTCCTGATTGTCTTTCTTCCCCATCCCTAACCGGGCCAAATCACTTAGAACACTTGACTCCTGGTCTATTCACCGGTGCAGGTGCTGCAAGCCTTAGCATGGATTTCATTGTTACGAGGGAGACGTCCACGCCCTCTCAGGCCACGGCACTGACCCACCTGTTCCCTCTTCTAGTGAAGGTGCAGCAGAGGGGCAGTGCAGCCAGACCAGCCGAGAGCACCTGCTCCGCCTCCAACTGTGTGGCTTTGGTCAAGACTCTTGACCTCTCTGTGCCTGCCTCCTCGTTGGCAGAACGCACGTCTCTGCGGCAGGGTGGGTGTGAGGACTGAGTGATACGTGTCAAGCACCTGGCAGAGCGCCCACCGCCGCCTCAGTCCTGAGCGCCTGCAGCTCTCCCTGCCACTGTTGTTACCGCTGTTGCTATTCCGAGGGCGTCTGCTGTGTGCTCAGTTCTCTGCTGGGCACCAGATATTCACACAGACGTCAGGTCAAACCCCTGCCCTTGGGAGCTGCTGGCCCTGGGCAGGGCACAGAAATATAAATCAGTCCTTGCCTTCTGCAGTCCAGAGGGCCCCTGACTTGCTGTCGGCAAAGGCCGGTGATGGCGCCCTCTGGGGGAACCAGGGGCGCAGCCCGAGGCAGCCAGGCTGTGACCGTCTTTGAAGTCTCTAGATCTGACTTTTATAATGCATTTTAAATTTCTGTACGTTTTATATTCTGCTCATATTGCATCGCTGTTTGCTTTCGTTTCGGGAACAAAGTGTCTTAGTTTACTTAATACAGCAGATCATGTGGCAGGAGAGGTGGCCTTGGGTCCCCCCTGCAGACAGGGCGTGGGAGCCATGGAGGAGCAGACAGCCCATCCTGGTGGCAGGGAGAGGAAGGCGAGCAGGCGCAGAGCAGAGCTGGGAGCAGGAATGGCGTGTGAGGGGCGCAGAGGCAGCCACCAAGGCGTTCACGAACAGGGAGCCATTCCTGTGCCCGGCGAGGACAGAGTCCGTGCAGGGCACCTAGCGGGCGGCCCAGGAGAGGAGGCTGTTGGAACCAGGAGCTCAATCCTTTGGGTCGCTGAGCCCCAGTTTCTCATTTAAAATCAGTAGCAGACAAAGTGCCTGCCCCGCAGAATGGAGGTAAGCACTGAACACACCGCCTGCAGCAGGTGTGCAGCTGCGGCTCTGATGCGTGCGGCCACCCCCGTGTTTCCCACCCTTCAGCTGCCGCCTCCACGGCAAAGTGCACCTCCCGACCCCTCCGTGACACTCAGGGCCCCCAGGTGTCACATCCTTCGTGTGTGGGCCCTTGCCCGCAGTTCTGTGACTTCTGTGGTTCACTTCTCGAATGGCCTCCATTGGCCAGGGCTGGATCAGCTGAAGCCAGGAACCCGACACTCCATCCGTGGCTCCCACATGGGCAGCAGGGAGCCAAGCACTTGGGTCATTTTCTGTGGACTTCTTAGGTGCATTAACTGGAGCTGGATTGGAAGTGCAGCACCCAAGACTTGAACTAGCATTGCAGGCAGTGGCTTAACTCCCTCAGCCACGACGCCGCCTCCTTTCATTAATGTAATTATTTAAAAAAAAATTTATTTATTTGAAAGGCAGAGTTACAGAGAGAGAGAGGGAGAGTCAGAGAAATATTCTGTCCATTGGTTCACTCCCCATATAGCTACAACAGCCGAAGCTGAGCCGATCCGAAGCCAGGAGCCAGGAGCTTCTTCCAGGTCTCCCATGTGGGTGCAGGGGCCCAAGGACTTGGGCCATCTTCCACTGCTTTCCCAGGCCATAACAGAGAGCTGGATTGGAAGTGGAGCAGCCGGGACATGAACCGATGCCCATATGGGATGCTGGTACTGCAGGTGGCGGCTCTACCCGCTATGCCAAGCTCCGGCCCTTGGCCCTCATGAACATACATTTCAACAGTCGCAAGCAGCTGGGGCTCCCTTAGCAGACAGCACGGCTCTGTCCTTTCCAATCCACACAGGACTTGAGACTGGAAGTCGAGAGAACAGGTCGGCTGCTGCCTCTGTGCCCTCTCTAGATCTCACTTTTCTTAGGTGTAAGATCAGGGGACTGGACTTGATGGCTTCCCAAGTCCTTTTCAGATAGAACTTGGATGCTGAGACGGGAAAAGGAGCTCAGGCGGCAGCAGACTCCCGGCGGACCGCAGGGGACCGACCAGCCAGGCAATGGGACACGTGCTCCACAGAGGGAGAAGGGAGAGAGAACCTGGTGGGGAGGGGCAGGAAGCCACCTTGGGCCTTTGCTCCTGCTCCTCCAACAGCGTCGCGCCAGGGGGCTTCCGTGCCCCTCAGCGCCCTGCCGCTCTGCTTCCCTCGCTTTCTACTTTCTGCCCTCCAGACCGGGCAGGCCGCCTGCAGTCCCCTGACAGGGCGTTTGGCCAAGCTGCTCTAGCAGTGTCACTTCCTCAAAGGACCCTTGCTGACCTCGAGTCTGGGTGCCCCTCCGTGCCAGCGTTCGGCACCCAGGCCTGGCTTGAAGTCAGTCCATGTCCCTGCAAAGGGCTGAGGTGGCCGGCTTTTCCTGCTGGCACGGGGAGCGCGCAGGTGGAGGCCGGCTGGTGGCCCAGCTCCCGTCCCCGCTCAGACCCCTCCCGGCTGCCGGTGGACTCTGATCCCGGCCTCTCCCCCAGGGCTGCAGCCAAGATCTCCGATGGTTCTCAGTACTATGTTCTGCTCATCATCACCGACGGGGTCATCTCCGACATGACACAGACCAAGGAGGCCATCGTCAGCGTGAGTGTGCGCGAGGGCTTGGGGAGGGGCAGCAAGTTAGCCTGGCAGTTGTGTGGACGCTGGCGGAAAATGCAAGATTTCTGCATAGAGACAAAGGGCTGTGCGACTCCAGGCAAGAGCAGCGGCTGGAGTGCGCACTGGCTAGGCTCTCAGTCCCGTTCCCCGCAGGATGTCAGGGGCCACGGGAGCTTGCACCCACTGCGGGCTGCGCTAGGGAACCTCTGCCTGCCCTTCGTTCCCGCTGGGAGAGCTTTGTGAATTTACTGCACAGTCAAGAACCTGCCCTCTACCCTAGAGAAAGACACTGTATCTTTCAGAGCTGCTTGACACGCAAGCATCCTTGAAAAAAAGCACAGTGTGGAATCAAGAGAAACAGTGTCTGCTCGCAAGCTGTGGGGAGGGGTCAGGGCTGCGGGCCCAGCCACCCCTCTCCTCACAGGCCTCCTCGCTGCCCATGTCCATCATCATCGTCGGTGTGGGACCGGCCATGTTTGAGGGTGAGTACGGCTCGGGGGGCGGTCCGTGAGCAGGACTAAGAGCTGGGTGGGCAGCGGCTGGGGCTCTCAGACCTGCCTCACAGGAAAGACAGGGTCCCGCGGGCAGCTCCACACCTCTTCACCACCACAGCCACAGCCAGTGACACTGCTGTTCCCCCACCCTCGGGTTCCTGGGGGGGGGGGGAGGCCGCAGTAATGATGACTCCGTATCGGCGTTTAATACCAGGACTAGAAGGCCGCCGTGAGGTACTCTGACAGCGCCGAGCGGAGCTGAGAGTAGGGGCACCAGGGTTGACCCTGCAGCTGAGGGGGTCTTTTTTGCAGCCATGGAGGAGTTGGACGGTGACGATGTGCGCGTGTCCTCCAGGGGGCGCTATGCGGAGCGGGACATCGTTCAGGTAGACCTGACCAGCCAGAGGTGGAGGGGAGAGGGGAGGCTGAGGTGGGGGCCAGGGCCGCTGCCTCCCCCTCGCCCTCATCCATTGAGCACTGGAAGGGCTGGGAGACCCCCAAGGTCCCTGTAGTGGAGGCAGCTCAGCGGCCCCGCCGCAGGCCTCGGCGTCAGGATGGAAGCAGCAGGCTGCAGAGCCCACTTGATGAGCCTGCGATGGGCATGGGACCAGGTCCCAGGTGCTGGGACGGCCAGGCCGGGGGAGCCTGGCAGGGAGCCCTGCACTCAGCTGCCAGCGGCTGGGTTTGAGGGTCCTTGAGCACTGAGTGAGGAGGTGGCAGGGCCAGAGACGGGTGTGCCCATCTGAGCGTCCTTAGAAACAGGTGGCTTTCTCCCTAACTTCTCCCTCCCCTTGGCCGCCCCCCTCTCCTGGGCCTCCTCTCCTCCCCATCACCCCACTGACGCCTCACCTCTCCCCCTTCTGCGGCTCCTGCTCCCCTGGCCCCCTCCCCTTCTCCCTGTCCCTCCCTTTACCTGCAGAAACCCGTTTTTAAAGCCACAGAAGTGTACACGGTCACCCAGGAAGAGAATTCAGAGAGACGGGACCAGGATTAGGGAGCCTGTAGACAGAGGCACTGGGGAGGGGCTTCCAGTCCAGGGGGCTGGCCAAGGCAGTGGGAGGAGGGGTCAGGATGAGGACTGTGCCCAGTGCACCCACCGTGGGGATTTCACGACCCCATTAGGGGAGAAGTCAACAGAAAGTGGAGGAGGGAGCCGAGTTAGGAGAAAGCCACTTAGAAACCTGCCCAAGGTGTGGGGGCGGGTAGAAGCCTGCCCAAAGTGTGGGGCGAGAATGCGATACTGGACAGGTGCTGGGTGGGAGCAGAGCAGCGCCGGCCCACACCCTCCCGTGTCTGCCTGCCCCAGTTTGTCCCATTCCGAGACTACGTGGACCGCTCCGGAAACCACGTGCTGAGCATGGCCCGCCTGGCCAAGGACGTGCTGGCCGAGATCCCCGAACAGCTGCTGTCCTATATGCGCACCAGGGACATCCAGCCCCGGCCCCCGCCGCCCGCCGGCTCCAGCCCAGCCCCAGCCCCAGCCCCAGGGCAGCCCTGAGGACTCGCACCCGCTGCCGCTGCTGGAAGCCAGGGCCCGTCCCCGGGCGGCCCGGCGCGCTCGCCACCTCCCTGCGCTGTGCCAGTAATAAAGCTGATATCGACTCCGCTCTGCCTGCTGGGGTCACGCCGAGAGGGAGGGCGCGGTGGGCAGCGCCCGGCCGGCTTCATCCTCCTCCCGACACGGGCTCCCGGGTGACCCCTGCGCCTTCTGCAAACTGCGTGCGCGCCCCCCAGAGGGAGGCCCCGTAGCTTTCCTTGGGTGGTCACAGGGGTCCCTGGCCTCAAAGGGGCTGCTTGAGGCGACCCTGGTCTCCTGTGAGCGCTCGCTACACGCAGGATCGCACGGGGTCCTCTCGGGGACCCCGCGGGCCAGGGACCACCCGCGGTCCGCACTCCACGCGTGTTTACAGGCTCACACGCGGATCCCAGAAGCGCACCCAACAGGTCGAGATTTTTGGGAAAACGTGACGGAGGACAACACAGGCACGGCGAGAGGGCGGGGTCCCCGGAGCCCCACAGCCGACAAATGCGTCTTCCACACCCAGAGCCCGGGAGCCCGGGCCGCCCGCGGCGTCTTCCCCGGGCCGCGTCCGTCGTCCCCAGCCCAGCTGCCCAGCTGCAGGCCCGAGCAAGGCTCCGCCCTTTCCCGCCCCGAGCCGCGGCGGCAGGCCCCGCCCCGGCGGCAGGCCCCACCCACGAAGCCCCGCCCCGGCGGCAGGCCCCGCCCCGGGCCGCGTCCCTCCGGCTCCCGGGCCTGCCCCCCGTCCCGCCCCGCGCCTGCGGCCCCGCCTCGCCGCCTCTCGCGGAGACCTAGGCCAGGTCCCTACCGCAGCCGCCGCGCCAGCAGGAGGGCGGGAGCAGCGAGGGAGGCGGCGGAGGGGGAGGGGAGAAGGGCGGGCTCCTCACGCCCAGCCCGGCGCTCGCCGTCCGCGTCCGCAGATTCGCCACAAACGGCCCGGCGACCGCGGACCCCCGAGCCCCCGCGGGCTCGGGGCCCAGAAGCTGGACTCAGAGATGGAGGTGCTGGATGAGCCCTGCCACACGTCCAGGAGCGTCCCCCGAGCCGCGCAGCACGGCCACGGGAGCCTCGGCGGCCCTGCAGCGAGCCGTGGCGAAAGTGCGGCCCGGCTGCGCCGCGGCGCCGCGTTTACCCTGCGCAGACGCCGTCGCCTCCGCCGCTGCCGCTGCCGCTGCCACTGCCTTTGCCGCCACGGTCCCCGCCGCCGCTGTCCCCGCGCTGCCTCCGGGAGCCTCTATTGTTCCGGCCGCGCCGCGTCCCGAGGCCAGGCAACCTAGGGACTTGGGAAACGGGCAGCGGCCGGCGGAGTTGAGACGCGGGGGCGCCGGCGGGGCCGGGAGCGGCAGGGGTCAGCGCGTGGGGCGGCCAGGGGGCCGGGGTGGCGAGACCCGAGGTCTGCAGCGTTGGGGTTCGCCCTCCCCGGCCCGCCTTTCCCCGCCGGCCTCCCCGGGAGGGGTCGGAGCCCCGGCGGGCGCCCCCGGCGATGAGCCCGGACTCGAGGTGGCCGGTGAGTGCAGGCCTGGGGCCGGGACGGGAGTGGCCGGCGGCGAGGGGCGTCTGCGGGGCCGCGGCCGCCGGAGGCGCTGACAGCGCGCTCGCCCCCAGCGCGCATCCCGGGCAACAGTGTATCCTTGGGGGCCGCCGGAGCCAATGGCCGGAGGCGAGCCCCGCTGAACTTGTAGCAGTTCCGACAAAGGGGAAGCGCCGCCGCATCCGGGAGAGGCTGCGGGCAGGGCCGGGCCGGGCCTCCGCCCCCCGCTTCCTGCAGCCCCCGCGCCCCGGGGCCGCGCCGGCTCCCCGCGGGGTGTTGCCGGAGCCTGGGCGGCCGCCTGGGACCCGGCTTGTTTGTGCGTGGCAGGCTGGTGTTGGGAGAGCCGGCGGGCCGGAGCAGGAGGGAGCTGGAGTTGAACTTGTGGCTGCACTGCCGTGCTGAGGGGCTGTAGGCAGGGCCGGGGCAGCGCAGAGGAGGGGTGAGCGTTTGTCCGGGAGCTCAGGGCGGCTTTGCCTGCCGGGGCCCTGGCTGGGCGGAGCGGGAGAGAGCGGGCAGTCCCTGGCCAGGCCGGGCGTCCTGGAGCTGGTGCCGTCTGTCCGCCCTCACCCAGGAGGCTGTGTGTGTCGGCGGGACCTGGCGCTCCGTTGAGCTGCGAGCGTGGGCGAATGCAGGGCTCCCACGCGCCCCGCTGCTGCCCTAGACGGGCTGGCCTCCGGTCTCGCTTGCTGCCCGGTCCATCTTCCACTGCAGCGCCAAGGCCGGGGATAAAGCGGTCACTGCTACAGCGCACTCACTTCTGCCGGCTCCTCGTTCTGGCCGCGAGTGGGAGCGAAACTAGCTTTCATCCCGGCGTGGCGGCTCCAACCCTGGGGGCCTCCTGCAGCTGTCCGCGCAACAGGTTATTCCAAAACCTGAGGCCGGTGCATGCTGGGACCCGGCAGACCGCGCGGGGTCGGCTCTGGCGTGCGCCGTGCAGCGCCCCGTCTCCTGTAGCGGGCCTTGACAGCGGCCAGCGTGGAGGCCGGCGTGGTGGTGAAGGTGGGAGCGGATGCTCTGCAAGTCGGGCCCCCCACGGCAGAGCAGAGAAGCCGTGGCGGAAGTGTCGGGTGGGCTGAGCTGTGCAGTAGGAGCCCGCCACTCGGGGCAGAGGCGTCGCGGGTGACAGGCTGTCCCGTTCAGGGAGTGGCTGCCCCTCGACAAGGCCCTGGACAGGGAACCAGAGCCCCACGGCGGGAGAGCTCCTGGAGTCTGGCCGGAGAGAAGGTGGACAGGGCTGGGGGGCGGCAGGAGGGCGTTAGGACGCTGCCGGACCCCCGCTGCTTGGCGGCCTCCCGTGAGGTCAGCGGAGAGGAGTTGAGACACGGGCAGGGTGACCGTGCACGACCAGGGACGAGGTGGGCCGAGACCGCGGACCCCCTGGGGAGGACGGGGGCTCCCCGCAGGCCTGCGCTGACTGCTGTGTGTGTTCCAGATGTGACAGCATGGGGGTGGACTTCGACGTGAAGACGTTCTGCCACAACTTGCGGGCGACAAAGCCGCCGTACGAGTGCCCCGTGGAGACCTGCCGCAAGGTCTACAAGAGCTACAGCGGCATCGAGTACCACCTGTACCACTATGACCACGACAACCCGCCCCCCCCGCAGCAGACCCCGCTCCGCAGGCACAAGAAGAAGGGGCGCCAGTCTCGCCCCGCCAACAAGCAGTCCCCCAGCCCCTCCGAGGTGTCGCAGTCTCCAGGCCGTGAGGTGATGAGCTACGCGCAGGCGCAGCGCATGGTGGAGGTGGACCTGCACGGGCGCGTGCACCGCATCAGCATCTTCGACAACCTGGACGTGGTGTCCGAGGACGAGGAGGCCCCCGAGGAGGCCCCCGAGAGCGGCAGCAACAAGGAGAACAGCGAGGCCCCGGCCGCCGCGCCCAAGGCCGGCAAGCACAAAAGCAAGGAGAAACGCAAGGACTCCAACCACCACCACCACCACGGCGCGCCCGCCAGCACCACGCCCAAGCTGCCCGAGGTGGTGTACCGGGAGCTGGAGCAGGACACCCCGGACGCCCCGCCCCGGCCCACTTCCTACTACCGGTGAGGCCTCTGGGAAACTGGTCAGGCGAGGCTCGGGCGTGCCGCAGGGGGCGGGGGTCCAGCCCGGAGGAGGAACACCGGCCTGCCAGGACCGGGAGAGCGGCGGGACCCTGCTGATCGGGGCCGGCCCGCGCTCGGTGTGGGGCAGCCACTCCTCATTCTGGTCTCCTGACTCTAGAGGAGGTGTGGCTCTCATTCACCAGTCCAGAAAATGCCGGACGTAAGGAAGGTCCCGTGCCGGTGGGTAGCTGGACTGGGAGTCAGACCCGCTCCTGTGGCTCCAGAGCTGTGCCCTGCCGCTCCCTCGCTGTGGGAGAGCGGCCGCAGCGAGAGGGACAAGGCCAGGGCCCCGCGAGCCGTGTCCGCACTGTGCGGTCAGGGTCAGCAGCACGCGTTCTGTACTGTCCCTCCTGCTTGTTTTCACTTCATGGCTTCTTTGTATCCTATTCCTTCCAAAACTTAGCCAGGGGCTGGGTTCACACTGGGGTCACAGGCAGCACAGGGGTAAATCCCATCCTTGCGAGGTAGAAGACGAAGGGGCGGGGCCATGGTAGTGAGGAACCTGCAAGGGGACGTCCTCGCGGAAGCGGGGCTCACAGCCTAGGCCTGGAGCCCCCAGAGCAGTCGGGCCGGGCTCTGACGGGTCTGGGGTAAAGGGGTGTGCCGCGGAGATGGTCCGTGTGACGGTACAGGGTAGAGGGGTGTGCCGCGGAGATGGTCCGTGTGACGGTACAGGGTAGAGGGGTGTGCCGTGGAGATGGTCCGTGTGACGGTACAGGGTAGAGGGGTGTGCCGTGGAGATGGTCCGTGTGACGGTACAGGGTAGAGGGGTGTGCCGTGGAGATGGTCCGTGTGACGGTACAGGGTAGAGGGGTGTGCCGTGGAGATGGTGTGTGTGACGGTACAGGGTAGAGGGGTGTGCCGCGGAGATGGTCCGTGTGACGGTACAGGGGAAAGGGGTGTGCCGCGGAGATGGTCCGTGTGACGGTACAGGGGAAAGGGGTGTGCCGTGGAGATGGTCCGTGTGACGGTACAGGGTAGAGGGGTGTGCCGTGGAGATGGTCCGTGTGACGGTACAGGGTAGAGGGGTGTGCCATGGAGATGGTCTGTGTGACGGTACAGGGTAGAGGGGTGTGCCGTGGAGATGGTCCGTGTGACGGTACAGGGTAGAGGGGTGTGCCGTGGAGATGGTCCGTGTGACGGTACAGGGTAGAGGGGTGTGCCGTGGAGATGGTCCGTGTGACGGTACAGGGTAGAGGGGTGTGCCGCGGAGATGGTCCGTGTGACGGTACAGGGTAGAGGGGTGTGCCGTGGAGATGGTCTGTGTGACGGTACAGGGTAGAGGGGTGTGCCGTGGAGATGGTCTGTGTGACGGTACAGGGGAAAGGGGTGTGCCGCGGAGATGGTCCGTGTGACGGTACAGGGGAAAGGGGTGTGCCGCGGAGATGGTCCGTGTGACGGTACAGGGGAAAGGGGTGTGCCGTGGAGATGGTCCGTGTGACGGTACAGGGTAGA